TGTCAAAGGTTGTTTCTCCCGCGCCCCCCACCCACCCCCTCCACTTTCCTTTTCAGGCCTTCCGACCTTTATCTTCCTCCCCACCTCTTCGTCAAATGAGAACACCCACTTTGGCAAACGGGTCAGGAAAGAGAGTTACGATTCTGAATTCGGATAAATGTTTCAGTGAGAAGTATTCGGTTATCCGGATAGGTATCCGGATTTTGCCCACCTCTGAAAATGGTGAAATGGTATGAGTTTAACGCCCCTATCAACACTATTAAGTTATTTAAGAGGCGGGGCCTCCTAATTTAACGTCCGTCTCCGATAGGACCGAGCCAAGTGGGAAGTTCGTGTAAAGTGCCTTTCCCAAGGACACAACGTCGGACAGAGCTGAGGCTCGAACCCCCGAACCCGCAATCTTATTGCCCACCTCGGTTTGCCAGCCAGATTGAGGGCGCAAAGCGGCTATCGTGACACAAGCTGATCGCACTTTCGGGGTGACGAACGGGGCCGATTGCCCCGGACCCGACCCTATCCCTTCCGCTATGGGCACTCCATATTATTCTGTCCCCGGGGTTGAATTAACTCCGCATAAGTAAGCAAAATTTGATCATTATTTACATAATTTACGATTATTTTCCTTCATCACTCTTTGTTAAAATTAACAGATATCGCATAATTTCACATTTTTGGGCTCAGTCTGCCTAATTTCAGAATTATTATTTTTTTCATAAAACCGCGGGGACAAATTAGTTATTCCAAAACATAAACGAACTTATGTTGCGAAGATAAGATGCAAAACATCCAGCTCTGACAAACTGATTTGAGCGAAAATTAGTAGGATGCCTTGATTTGTCAATATACATATTATCATAACTGTTGTCTGATATAGATCTACTTGTAATTCAATACGTCTCTAAAGGTTTAGTTTCCAATTGTCAGTTGAGTGTTAATACCAGTGTGGCCAGCCATCGTAACGTGTAACATAAGAAATTCAGTTGAAATTATTATTGGAATTCCCGTGAAAAAGTATAGTTTATCTTGCATGTAATATATTATACTGAGCGTCATAAATAACGCGAAAAGTTAAACCAATGTGTAGAAAACAAAGCTGAATATTTTCGTGAGTTGTTTTCTTTTGTCTCTATTTACAATGTGTTCTTGTTATTGGATTGGCTTGATTTTAAAAAGCCCAACACGCTCGTTGGCTGCTTATGCATTAAACAATATTAAAACATGAATTGCATTGAATCGTGATTTTTTGCTCACATGTTAAGTTGGTCTAGCCAATAAAATCTCAGCCCTAAAATGTTTGATTGAGTGTTGCATAGTCCGACTATCAAGATGTCAAGGTTATTTGCGGAAAATCGAGAAAGAGCTATTGGACGTCTACTAGCCGATGTGAGCCCTCAGCAGGTGGCAACAGCCCTGGGAGTGCATGCCAGTACTATCTACCGCCTGCAAAACAGATTCCAGGCAACTAACTCCACTAGATATCTCCAAAGAAGCCGAAGACCTCGACTGACAACAGCTGCCCAAGGCCGCTTCGTCGTGCGTCAGCATCGCCGAGATCCACGGTTGTCTGCCTCCGAGACAGTCCAGGACACCACAGGAACGCACGGTAGAGCCGTGAGTGACCGCACCATACGCCGCCGACTTGTGGTCAGGAGGCTGCGTTGTCGGCGTCCGGAGCAGAGAGCACCCCTGAACGTCCATCATCGACGAGCTCGTCTCCAGTGGGCTCAGAACCACGTTAACTGGTGTCATCCACAGTGGCAGCGTGTGATCTTCAGTGACGAGAGTTGCTTCTGCATCGATCCTGACAATAGACGGGTCCGAATTTGACGACGCCCCGGACAACACTACTCTGACGAGAACATCTGGGAGAGAGACCCGTGAGGAGGTCAAAGCGTGGTGATATGGGGCGCAATCGGTATCAATCAAAGACTGGGCCCCATGATCTTCCAAAATTTAGGACCTGGGCGTGGCTACGGAGTGACGTCACAGCGCTACATCAACCAAGTACTGCAGCCCCATGTTGCTCCATTTTTCCAGAGACATCAAAACCACTTCTTTCAAAAGGATAACGCCCGGCCTCATACAGCACGCGCTACCCAGCAGTTCTTGGTGCAGAACAACTTACCCACCTTGCCTCACCCACCCCAATCACCAGATGTGAACCCAATAGAACACGTTTGGGACATCCTTCAGAGGCGTCTCAACCAACTCCAGCCCAGACCCCGGACAGCTGCACAACTGGGTGCTGCTACTCTTCAGGAGTGGGTGCAGGTCCTCAACTGCCAAATCTATCGCTTGGTCCACTCTATGCACCGCCGATGCACTGCTGTCATCAACGATGGCGGCCATACCAGATACTGACTGGAACTTAAGCCCCAAGCCAAGGTAAGCTCTTTGATGCCGAATAACAACATCTGTCCCGAAGCAAATCCCCAACTCTCAAGCATTGTTTTGCGCAATTTGAGACTTCTCAAACCTGTTTCTCTAAATAAAAATATTCCTTCAATTTACTCTCCTCTTTTTTGTGTGTCACGCGAATCCGCACTACTTTTGCCGATAAGTATAGCTCAAACCAGCTATAGTGAATGGAGTAAAAGTTTATTATTTATATATATTATGTATTACAGTCCAGACACTTTTCTCGTGTTCTGTGCAGCCAAGTCGCTGGTGATGTCACTAAAATACAATTCACGCAGTGTGTGTGTGTATATATATATATGCCCTCCCCTTAATCCAGCCTTGGGTCTAAGTATCAATTGCACTTTTCCGTCAGACAATAGACGGGGTGAAGAAATTCAATGAAAAGCTGATACTTATAGTTTTCCGGCTGTTTCTTGGTTTAAAGCTTTTAAAAATATTTTAAATTCGTTTGTGTTTTTCGAGGCTACCATACAGATGTGACTTCTACACACAAACACACACACACACACACACTAACACACACACACACGTACGCACGCAC